CACACACACACAAACCACCCCGAGATGTTGCAAGTTAGGGCTGACAGTCCTACTCGACTCCCCACTTGTAGGAAAGGAGGCAGGAGAGGAGGAGACACCCAGGCACAGCCCGCACCAGCAGGGCCCAAGTGGAGACGGAAATGTCAGCCCTCACTTTGTGTGTCCAGGCTCTTGCCTACAGAACACAACTTCAGCTTATATCTATCATTCTTGCTTGGGATTTTTTTTTTTTAAATCATTTTCGTGTGTCTTCTACCCAATTCCTTATTCCACTAGATTCAATGTTACTCTCACAGTTATACTGGGGAGGGGGCACGAAGGGACAGTTCCTCTGAGAGGAGCGAAATAGGCCTCTCTGTACAGATCTACATCCACAGATTTGTTGGGAGGGCCTGGAGCCTGCTGCATCCCGCCATTTCCCCCCAGCGGTGTAAGTGACTTCCTAATTGTCGCTCTGGCCTCTGACCCGGGGGGTAATACAAGTGCCACTCACGCTAGAGGCTTCTGGTGGTAATTGAGGGCACCCTTTGTACGGTTTCGCCAGCGCTAAGATACCAGGTTAACCCAGTTGTCAAATATGACTAAACAGTGGGATGTGCTGATTATCTGCCGAGTTTTGCTGGGGGCTGGCGTGGGGGTGGGAGGCATCAGCCCATACAACACGCTGCACGAAGCCGCTTATTTTCACATTGTAACAACTTTGGAAACAGAGACCGGCGCGAGCGGCGTCCGCCCCCACCTCCACCTCCGCTGAAGCTGCAGCTTGCTCGGCTGTTTGTTTAACCCGGTGAAGATTTGCATGTCGCGTTTCATCCTGGAGTGGAATTTTCTTGTCCCAGCTCCAGCCCACTCCCACTCCAGACTGCCAAGGCCTAGAGTCTCGTCTGTAAGGCAAGTGCGCCGTGTTAAGAGGTGGGGTCCCCCTTAGTGCCCTGCTTTCACGGACGTGCCCGAGAAATCTCTCCAGGATTTTCACCCGGGAAGGCGGAGGACCAGGCCACACGTGGGCGCCCCCACATTTTGCAGGCTGGAAGCATCCTGAAGTCCTCCCTGGACCTTGTCAGTGTGAAAAGAGGTGTCCTCAAACAGACCAGGGTGCGTCTTCGAGTCCCCCAGCAACCGCTGAACTGCTTATTTTTCTCTTTCTGGGCCCCGCTTTCTCTTTCTTCTCCAGGGTAACCAGAAGCTGTTTTTGAACCAGAAATACCAGCGCCCTCGGGCAGACCTGGGCGCTGGTTTTAACATAGCACACTCCCCACCAAACCCACACCCTGCTTCTTAGGAAAAAAAAAAATTAAACTACCAACCCCAAACCCTCGAGTGCAAACGATGAGTTGTCGCGGAGCGGGTGCAAATGACAAGGATGTGGAACTATGCCACCCGTGTTTTCTCTCCTCTTTTGCAAGATCTCTTGACCTAAAAGTACGACCAGAGTGGCACTGCTCTCGGCCCTGTGATGGAGCCTGGGTGCGTCTTGGCGCACTCCGTGGGTGGGGAGGGCTATGAGGGTCGCTTTCTTGGATTCCTGTTAAAATACTTTGGCTCAGAATGGTTTTTTTTCTTCTTCTTTTATTTTTTTCTCTTTTTTGTTTAAGGTGGCGAAAGCACCAAGGAAATTATGACAGAGAAAGAGAAGGGACAGAGGAGAAGAGAACGAGAAGGCTCGTGTGGCTGTCAATGAAGTGCTGTGCCCTGGGAGACTGTAGTGGAAATGGGGGTGGGGAGGTGTGAAAAGTCCCTGGGGGACGCGGGGTGGAGGGTTGAGGAGAAATCAGACCGCCTAGACGAGCCGGAAAGCCCAGCAGGGGGACCCGGGGGCCGTTCCCAACAGGTGACTTCTGCCCTGGAAGAAGACAGTGGTTCTCGGCTTCCCATAGAGTCTCCGCGTGGATTTACTAATAGAGGGATTGTTAAGTGGCAGCGAGGCGTTTCCGACTCACCCTGTGCAGCCCGGGGAGGAGAAACGCCAAGATTTCCCCCGTCCACCTCCTCCCCCACCCCCAACACACCCTCTTCTTAAGGAAACCTGACAAAGTAATAAATAAGACAATCCGAAAAGCCACTTAGCACTAGTGACATTTTCAAGCCAACCATTTAAAACAGTTCTCGCAGACACCTCGGGCTCTGGCGCCCTGCTCGCCTTCCTCTTCTCCTCCTCCCCTCGGGTCCCCTCCCCTCCCCCTCCCGCCGTTTTCCCGTAGTTCCAGCTGTCCGACTCTAGACGTGGGCACTCGCATATTCCGTTAGATACACGCGTCTGCATCACAATAAAAGTTAGGGAAATCTTCCAAACGAACGCAGGCAAACACCCGGGCCACTTTAACTCTAAGGTGGGGCCCCAAGGAAATCTTTCGGAGGAAGTCCAGATTTTTTTCGTCTGACAGATTTTTTTCATCCTCTAAAAAAATCTAGTTTTTAAACAAAGATCAATGTGTTATGCTAAAGTGTTGAGCTGACTGTTAAAACATTTGGGGAAATAATGACAATGTAACAAAGGCCTGGTTTGGAGTGAATCATCACCCTTTTAAAAGTTAAAGCAATTTTCAGGAGAATAGCTTTCAGCAAACGCTTTACATTATTCAAAACGGCCAAATAATGCTCTATTATAGCGCCTGAATGCTGCCAGTCAGCCCCTAAGTGCAATTTGTGCAAAGGCCCCGGTGCCTTATCTCCACTTCTTTATAAAGAGGTGAATATAAAACAATTTCTTCCAAACCCAGACAGAGAGCACGAAAATTGCTTCCCTTTCTGCAATCAGGGCAATTTAACTGGAGTGCAATTAGCACTATTAAATGTCGATTCTGCATAAACAAATCTGACTGAGCAGCGAAAGTGGGGTGAGAACCTCATATACACTGAAACTGATTTTTTAAAATTATGTATCCGGGTCCTTTACAATTGATCCGTGACGTTTTCATCTTGGAATATATTTACATCATAAATACACTATGGTTAAATCAACATAATTTTTTTTGCAAAAAAATTCAATACGAATCTTAATAAAGAAGAATAGGGTAATTAAAGGGAAGAGTTCACTTCCTTTGAACAAATATTGTTTCTCCCATCTAGGCTCTCCCGGGAGCTTTGATCTGAGCAACTGCTCAAGTTGCTGTGTTTAGAAGGCAAAGCCAGGGAAACAATTCGGTCATTAGCACTGATAGGAAGGATTGGACCTCCTAAGCCACAGATAAAATGCTTCTCCCTGATGCGCAGAAAACATAGTGGCGACTGGGAGGACCAGTTATTTTCTGAATAACTAGATATAGTAACTGGTTAAATATTAAGTGACTGCCCAGTCTCCCCGGAGCTTTGACCTAGCACAGAGTTTAGCAGCGGATATACACCACTGGGGTGGGGTGAGGTTGGGCTGGGGTGAGGTGGAGTTGGGGGGACTCCGGAATATGGTTGAAGGGGAGGCATTGCGGGAGGAGGAACGGAAGGTGCTCGCCTTGGCCAAGCTGGCTGCAGTCAAAGTCTGGACCACCGGGACTAGGAGGAGGGGTTGGGGGTGAAGGGAGCCCAGCCTATAAAAAGCATTTATCTGACCTGTCCTCCCTACTGCCTTTATTTATTTGCTAAGCCACAGCGCTCCTTTTTAAATGATTTGTGCAATTAATTATGCTTTTCATTTGCATGATCTTCACTAGAGCAGTGATTATCAGGTCAGCACGGTGTGGGAGTTGCAGAGATACATTAATAACTTGAGTTAAAAAAAGAAAAAGCTGCCCTTGTGTACCAATGTTGCCTGCCATGAGCAAGGGAGAAGGAAGCCCAGGAAGGTCCATAGTGCCTGTTGAGTCGGGTGAATCCTTTCCACAGTTGGAGTCTTGTCAGCGGTTGGTGAAAATGAAATACAGCCTTTGATTAGCAGGGAATCTTTTATAGTTAACACATATTTATATTTTTTAAAGCACCAGTTGTTGAGATCAAATGGATGGAGAAAATTAATTAAAAATTGAGGAACTCTCCCACAGTTTCTGTTGAGCTTTCCTTTAATATTTGTTCTATAATGTCCTAATTCCAGCCCAACCCTTGCAAATGAAAGAGCAAGGAAGATTCAATAGGCCAATGGGACTTTCATCTTTTCTTTTTTTTTGTATCTCAGAGGCGTCACTGCTATTTAGCAGTGGTAGAAGATGCAAATCTTTCTTGCCTCTGTAGGGTCTACTGAAGAAATTGAAAACCCCTAGTCTATTAAGTATAGTCCAAACGTTTGTTACACAACTAATTTTCTGTTGTTAGATGTATCTGGGCCATATATTTTAAGCTTGCCTCGATCTGTTTATCTGAGCCCAAAATGCATTAACAATTAAGGGAAAGACTGGTGTGTCAAAGGAAGGAAGGTGACTGTAGACTGTGTGATGATTTTAATGACTGCAATTATTGGAAGATTATTCAACAAGCATCATAGATTTGTTTACTGCATCACTCAGAAACTATGGGGGGCCTATTCAGCTTGGGGTTTTACTTTCCTCCCTCCCTCACCAACTACCAAAGAAGGGTCTCAGACCTAAGCAAATGTGGCATTCTGTAGTCACTTTCTTCTTTTTAAGAGCATCTCTTCCAAAATGATGCACATGTATTGTCTCAGCCAACTCTAATGGAACCACCTTTGGAGACATTAAAGCAATCTTTTCACATAGACCTGAACTAATATCAAGAAAAGCCAGAGGCCAGGATTTTGATCATTAGTCAGTTTCTCCTAGCCAGGGTACCAGTTTCCTCAGTGTTACCCTTTCATAGGCAGATTTGAGGAGGCTTCCAACTCTTTCCTCCTCTATCCAGGGCTTGGAGAAGGCACTACAACCACAAGATGTTAAACAGGAGTGTAGGCACACCTCCAGGACACCCTGGGATAAAGATTGGCTTTTCCTTCCTTCCCTTTAACACACCCTCTCGCATGTTACTTCCTATCACAACTCCTGATGTTGCTTTATTAAAAATAAGTAAGTAAAAAGAAAAGGTATGGCTAAATGCATATCCGTTTGTGACTAAGGAAGTTTTTACTGTAAATACAGACACAAGGATGCAAGTAAGGAAAGTTTCTTGTCTGATATCAACAAAATGATCCTCAGTCCACAATAACCTATAAATTGTGGCATGGGCTTTGCTCATTAATCGTGACAGATTTGGAAGGGAGATTGGGGGGAAAATGAACAGCAAATATCCCCACTAACACCCCCTTTCTTCCCTCCCCTGTAGAACTGAGACCGGAGTGACTGTGCCATCTAGACTTTCTTCCTGGGTTCTGTAATCGCCCAAACTCTAGCTTAAGGTGGACTTGCCTGGAACCTTCCTTGTTCAAATGTGAGCCTGCAGGATTCTGCAAGTGGCAATTAGGAGCCTATTACAAGCCATTAGATTGATCAATGTACCTTAAACAATGCGAATGAATTATATGACTGATTTATATGGGGAAGAAAAAGAAAGCAGTGGGGGAGGACGATTTCATCTCCTTTACATCCACACGCTGTTCTGGAGAAGAACCGGGCCCAGCCTATGGTTCATCATAGCTTAGAACCACCCGAGCGATTTATCTAGAAAACTTTTCAAGCAAAGACAAGGTCCTCTCAGCTTGTCCGGTGGCTGGCGAGGTGCACGTTCTCTGCCTCTCTCTCGGCTTCCTAAGGAAGAGCTTAGAAAGACCAAGGCCCCGAGGGGCTGCGGAAGGTCACAGCGACGCCACTCCGCTAGCCAAGGACACCACCCGGAGCGGGCCCAGCTGCCTCCTTCCCTAGAGTCTGTCCCCAGAGAGAGGGAGGACGACTTACATATTTGTTTAACGGAGTGCTGGAGAGCTGCGTGGCCTCCTAATTACGTCAGGAACACAGAACCATCAGCCCTTGAAGTTTCCAGCGAGACTTCGGAAGGAGCGGCGACCCGGCTCCAGGCGCGAGATGACGCGGGGGGTGGGGAGGGAGGGTACTCCGTGGAACGGAACTCCAAGCTAGGGCTGGCGGTTCCAGCTAAACTATCTGGCGAAGACAAAATTACAACAGAGCTGGAGCGATCAAAGCTGGC